ATAACATAAAATGTACGCATTTTGGGGGAGTTTTAGGAAGGTAATGTGCTTATATTTGGTGTGACGGAATAGGGGAAAGACAGATTCGATATTGACATGCACAGGATAAGCAATGACCAAATACAGAAGAGAACTGAAAATGAAATGAGCGACTGTTGAATCGAATGCTTTATCCAATAACTATTCATTAATTATAATATATAATTCGCAACAGTAAGCCGAAGTGTAACATTAGCGGGAATTAGGTTACGAATTTGGCTAAGTGGTTAAAATGAGAATCATAAATTCGAAGTTTCTACAACTTTAAGTGATAGAAGCTTGATAGTGCTCTATAGCTAAATGGCATAAACTGCCTTTTCTTTTACCTGATCATTATTTCTTTTTTTTTCAACATTACTGCATGCACTTGCATGTTTTTACCAAAGCTCAATGCTTATATTTATCAAGTGAATAAATGACGGGTTTATGAAGCTATCTTGGAAACACATAACAGCATTTGCACTATTTTGGTCAAGTAGCGTGGATTTCTACCCATCAGACATAATTCGGAGCACATAAAATAAACGTAAGGATAAAAGTGGCCAAGTCTGTAGCACCAAAATAGATGCCTAGGTAAACAACAATTAAATTTGCAAATGCCTTTGCTAATGGGATTAAGCGATGTGAAATAATGTAAAACGCAAAGCAGTTTGCAGGTGTCTTGTACCCAGTTTACAGAGTTGGACTTTATGCTAATGCTCTCTAGGCGAAAGCACTTTTACACGCCACACATAAAAATGCTATTCAGTCTGTCACGCTTGCGAATTCTATTACGCTGAGTATTTAGCAAACGCGGTGCAAATACGAAAGTTGTAAACAGATTCTTTCGAACCAGTGCCACAAACAGTTCATTCCTTTTTCTTTACCTTACCCTATTTCAAAGAGGGTGTAATCGCTCTGCATTTCATAGAAAAACCTCGATATTCCCTATACTGATTTACCAGCTCTAAAGTTCACATATGCATAATTAAACTTCTTATGAATGTTTTGAGAAAAGGATTCTCGTGCGTTTTCAAGGCGTATTGCATTGTATCACCTCGAATAGATAGATGCCGGTCGTGG